TGGTAAAGTCACAATGTCTCTTTGTAAATGAGCCCCTGTGTGATATGATCTGACACTAATTGTGATTTTTGAAAGGCAGTGCACAGACAAATTGTTGGACTTTTATCCCAAACTAATCTGATCTACACAGTGCCATGACCAGGGGACTAAAGATGGCTTGATCCAGTGCCCCTAAATCAATACCTACCCCACCTTTTACCTAAGTAACCACACAGACAACAAGAACTGGAGTTAATGGCCCAAAAACAGCCCTTTATTACAACCATTAATAAATAACATTCAAATAACAAAACACAGTATAACATACGTTTTTTCATTTTCCCAATAGGCATCAAGAAAACAAATACCTGCGTCCTGCTTAACTAGGCCCCCAGCCACAACACCACCGACTCGGAGACACCACCGCAGATGCCCCCACGAGAACAACTAGAAGCCGTACCTCAGACAGGTTCCTACAAAGTGCCTTTCTTTTGCCCACAGTAACCAACGAGGACCTTGCACCCCCAGGTTGTCCCTCAGCACCAATAGGCACAACCACCACCAAAAACAAACCATGAAACAAACGGGTGGGCGGGAGGGAAGTTTGCCTTGACAAAACTCTCTTCTGACTGAAGACCCCCTGCCACACCCTGTCAGACCACCCCTTGTGGCTGCACCCGCTCCCTTCTTAAAACCACTTAGACTCCCCCCTTAGCTAATGGGACTCTTCTCTCCCAACCCACTTTAACCCCTGTCATGCCGGCCCTTCGTTCAGGTCTTCTTTCTTTCTTCTATTCCTGGCATCCCTGGACAAGGTGATCCAGTGCCCAGAGCAAAGATGCCAAACTGCCAAATGGCTTTGGAATACAGCAGCGCTGCACTGTCAGCAAGGAGGTTGTTCCTCCCAACACTGGGCTGACAGGAGTAATGATGTCGCTGTCACTACTCCTGTCAGCCTTGTAAGAGGTGCCCCCATCCCTACAGTAAACTGTTGCAACCAAGGTAGCCACCCCTCCTGCCTAGCCCTTATCCTGACCCTGGATCTAAATAAACTACAGCAAATTTACTGGCTGGTGTACTGGTCACTCATTTCTCTTCTTCCAGTGGACTGATAGGTGTGTCTTCTCCCTTTTCTTTCATCCTAGAAGCAGAGTGACAAGGCAGAAACATTATAACCCTATAACAGGAAATGTTTGAGCCTTTACATTAAAGGATAACTTCACCTTTGGAACTTAAGGTGGGACATGTAACATGTTCCCAATGCTGCAGTCACAGCATGATCCCCCCCTCCCTGTGACAGCTGTACAGGGAGAAGCTCCCTGTACAAGCTGTCACTTTTAAAAACAGCTTTGCCTGCATGGCCGCATCATTCACTCACAGAGTTTTATGAATGAATGAACTATAAGTCCCAACAGTCTTAGCCAGGGCTGCTGTTAGAAACCACGGGGCCCCATACAGCCAACCTGACAGGCCCTCCTCCCATAAAAAACCAAAACAGTTTACTATGCTTCAGTTATGAATGAACACAGTGAGTGATTGGTACAATTGTGTTCATTCAGGCAAGGAAGGGGCTGGTGACATATTTGAAATGTGACATATTTACCAGACCCTTCCCCACTTTCCATCCTCCATCAAGGATCCTATTGTGTGCTTGCAGCTGCCTGTGTTAAGGAGAGGAGGGAAGGCAGTAGCACTCTGGGGGTGGGGGCACACAGGGGGGGCCTGAGCAGAAGGGTTAAAAGTATGGTGTACAGGGAGGGTGAAGGATATGATGGGGAGGTTGCTAATTACTGGAACTGATCCTCTATATGGTTGTCTGCTGCAGAGAGAGCCTTACAAGGGATCAGTTCCAGTAATTGCCCCCCTGCCGCGCCAATCACCCTCCCTGCCCTCATCTGATTCACCCAGCTGCCTGGGCCCCCCTGATGACCTGGGCACTGTACAGGAGGACTGCTGGTACCCCCTTATCCACGGCCCTGGCCTTAGCAAATGTCAGCTTGTAGTTCTCAATGAACCACCACTGCTCTGTGGAGTGCCATGGTAGTTCATGAATTCTTCCTGTCAGTGTATCCGCTTTCCTGTATGGGATGTACGGGCACACAGATACACTGACAGGTCTGCAGGAGACCTGCATGGTATCAGCAATCTACTGATCTGGTGCAATGCTTTACAGGCTCCTGCAACAAAAAATAATCAATGCACAGTTTTTTACCTGCAAAAAAATGTGCATTTATTATTTTTTGTGAAAATGTGAACTTATCCTTTAATGGCAGTATCACTAGGAATTATTGTGATGAAAGCTACATATTTAGAAAAGTTGAACGCTCATACAAATTGATGAAGAGCAACAATACTGCTTAAAAATCAGAAATCCTAATTAAAAGGTATGTGCTAATAACAAACTTATACAAAAGTGTATATCATCAGCCAAAAAAAACATTTAGTGTTTTAAATAAATAATTATAGTGTCCAAACATAAATTAGTGTCCAAAAAAATATATTAGTGTCCAAAAAAAAAAAAAAAATATATATATATATATATCTTCAGTGACTTGAACCAATTGTGAAAAATCCACCACCAAAGGAGATTAAATGAATTCCCCAGAGCTAATGGCTGGTCAGAAGGAGAGCGGTATTGTGCTGATTCAAACCTGCAGGGTATATATATTTACCTTTTTTTATGTAGTAGAGTGTATATGTATAATTAAATTGGGAAACACCTGTTCAAGCCGGTGTGATTAAGGAGACTAGGAACGCAGTGATTGGCTGGGTGTTAAAATTATGTAGATGAAGGGTGGTATTTATGAGAGCTGTCTGACGTTCCCATTTGTACTGCCCCTTGATGACGTCGGTGTGATGAAACCGGTTGGGCGTGGCCTACTAGATGTGGACGTTAGAGAGCCTTGCTGGTCTGTGCTGTAAGGGAGAGATCCGCGGTGAGCGGTAATTGTATCTCACCTTTTTTTGCGATTGAAGCTGGTGTCTGTTGGACACCTTGTTTGTGAGTTTCCTTATACCTTTTTTATTAAAGAGATAAATGAAAAAGGAAAAAAAAAACGTATCGCACCATTATGTTCTCTTTTTTGTCCCTGAGTGTACTGTATGCTCTCATGGAGGTATGAGAAAGAGTGGAGAAGTTCATCATAAGAGCTTGGGCTGCAAAGTTGTTTGTCTGTGATTATTATTATCCGGAAGTGTCTGAAACATCACCATATCTATTTGGACATCGGGTTCATTGCTCCCAGAGCACCAGCGCTGTTGCTGGTTTATAATCTGACCAGCCATTAGCTCTGGTGAGTTCATTTAATCTCCTTTGGTGGTGGATTTTTCACAATTGGTTCAAGTCACTGAAGATATATATATATATATTTTTTGGACACTAACATATATTTTTTTTGGACACTAATTTATGTTTGAACACTATAATAATTTATTTAAAACACTAAATTTTTTTTTGGATGATGATATACACCTTTGTATAAGTTTGTTATTAGCGCATACCTTTTAATTAGGATTATTGTTGCCAAAATTTATTTTGGGTGGGATATGCTGCTGACAATTTGGTGTTTTTTGTAAGTGGCGCTTGTTTCTTTTTTAATTTGGTATTAAAAATCAGAAACAGTGACTCTTGAGATGATATAGAATGGTGAGAAAGCCAAGCCAAAAATGTACTAAGGCTCCTTTCACACTGATTAGTTTTTAATGCGCTTTTTGGTGTTTAAAATACAGAACAAAAATGCATGAAAAATGTATCCCTTTGTAACCTATGGAACTATTCACACCAATGCGATGTAGCTGTGATGCACTTTTAAAATTCCTGTATGCTTCATTTTTGGTGCAGTTTAAAAAGCACACCAAAAGCACACCTCCCCATTGAAATGAATGGAAAATGCATCAAAAACATATTAAAAAGGCACACATGGTGTGTTTCTGGTGTGTTTTTTTGAGTCGGATGTCCAAGTTTCACAGGAGCATGTTGAGAGAAAGGAATCCAGAAAAACACACCAAATACACACTGAAAACGTATAAAAACGTGATTTTGCAAAATGCATATCACGTTTTTAGCCCATCAATCTGAAAGTGCCCTAAGCCTATCATGGACCTTTTGATTAACAGCTAGAGAGGCTAAGGCTGGGTACGCACTATAAGCTTTTTTTTCATCCAACCCAGTGGGCTAAATAAAAAAAAAAAAATTGCAGTGCTAACGCAAGCGATGTTGGTGCGCCGATCTTCCCCTTTGTCTTCTGACAGGGGGACTTCCCACTCACCAGAACACACTGATAAGCGCTCGCAGTCATTGGCTGCTAATCGGATGCTGGTTAGATGCTGGGTTTCCAGCATGCCCATTCGATAGAAGTCAGTCGTAAGACCAGCTTCTGTAGAACAGACAGCTGTACACATGGGTTGAAAGATTTTCAGCCTGTGTGTATCCAGCTTAAGTCTGTCTCAGAAAACAAAGCTCTGCTTCATTTAAGGAATAGTAATTTTAATTCTGGTGTTTTTTTTGTGTGAAACAAGATGATGTTGCAAAGGTGAAGGAGATCACAAACATGGCACACCTCCCACTATTTCCCAGAAATTGTACAGCAATGGTGGACAAAGATGTTAGAAATTCTCTATATAGCCCTACAGAACAGACAGTGCACAGTCAACAAGGAAGCAGGAAACTTTATTCAAAGCAAAACCACAGAGTATGTCATAGATGCAGCTACAAAACTTTGAAACACTGCCATCTACTGGTTGAAGAATATATCTCTACTAAATACTGATGTAGTTGCACAAAATACATAAACACTATATTCCAACAAAAGACAACTAATTATTCTGGATATCTGGTTTAGAAGATGAAGTCAATTGCATATAAGCAACCAACCGAGCTACAGATCTGGAGACCCTGCATGAACTTAACTTACGTGAACAAGTTTTAGAAAACATAATGCACATGCAAGTTTGAAACATGCTCCTGTCTACACAGTACAATGCACAGTGCAGACCAGGGGCGGACTGACAACTCATGGGGCCCTCAGGCAATAAGGGATCATGGGGCCCCTGTGTCCTTGCCCAAACTCAAAAAAGCCTATGAAAAAGGTACCAGGGGCATCTCCTGGGGCCCCCTACTGACCCCGGGCCCTCGGGCAGTGCCCGGGTTTCCATATGGTCAGTCTGCCCCTGGTGCAGACCTCAGACAGAGTGAATGTAAACAAAGCAATGCTTACACCTGTCATGGCTTGTGATAACAACTCTCAAAGCACAGAGAAAGAACAGCTAGAATCATGCTGGTATGCTTACCTTGTGTATATTAGAAGTGCTGATGTGTTGTAAAAGTACAGTAATCCTATAGGCTTGTTTTAGTTTGATAAAGTTATTAATAAAAGAATTTCAGTTCATTTAAATTTGGTAATTTATTCATTTATTTATGTATATATGAATGAATAAACTACCATTCTGCAGCACTTTTACAAGCTGAGAAAATTGCACAGTAAACACAGAGAAGTAATACGTGGTGGCAAAAATTCCAGCAGACAGTAAGAAGGTGTCGCCTAAATGGAATTTACAACTTTTTGACAATGAATAAATTATCTGTGTTGGATAAATATCCCCATCCTGCCTCTATTCTTTCTCTTCAATGTTGTCTTCTCTGTGGTTTTTATACTACATGACTACATTTTCCTTTATGGTTCTGTTGTTTAACAGCATAAAGAGAAGCCCATAACATAAACAAGGCATTTATATAGAATATATTTTTCTGTGCTTACCCTATAAACATATAGTACTAGAGCTTTGGCTGGATTACAATTGATGTGTTTTTTTCAGCACTGTTCTAAGCTGATCTAAGGATGGAGCAGATGTATTGCTGCATGAATATGAGCCCAGGGGGAACTATCCGCAGACATTAGAGCACATCTTGACTCCTGGCAGGTGGGCGGCACATAATTATATATGGCAGACAGAGTAAATGGTCAGTTCATATTATTCCTGGGCTGTGAAGGAAAAGACTAATGCCAAGGGTAGTTTTTGGGCACTATGCTGTTTTTCAAGTGTTAATACTGTGTATTGATTTTTTGTGACACGATAAGCTCAGGCTTTAAAAGTACATCACTGTGCCAAAAGATGTAATGAAATTGGCAAACGTCCTGTTATTATTATTATACAGGATTTATGTAGTGGCAACAGTTTGCACAGCGCTTTACAAAATAAAGGGAAACAGTACGGTTATAAAAAAATTCCAGAAAAAAGATCTAGGAGGGCCATAGTTTTCATAGTTTACAATGCAAATGGGAGGGGAATGATAACTATGAGGAGATGAGTGTCTAGAGTGTCTTCTCTTCCTGAGTTGGTTCAGCCCTCTCCATGTCCCATGCTGTTGTGATATAATTTAGGCGGTGCTGAAGGTGTATGGACAGATAGATAGGAGTGACTTTAGAAGTTGGATGTACTAGACCATGTAATCCCCCCTTTGTGGGCCCCCTGAGTGGACTTTGGACTTGAATACCCAGCAACTAAGTGGTAGTTCTATGTGTTAATGTTTATACCACAGTCTCCCCCTCTTGGCTACTAGAGTTATGACTGTAGTGTATACCAATATTTGGAAAAGTAAAAGTTACATTTACTCAATGTTGCTTCATTATTGTCTGGTATGGAGGTGGACAAGTGAGGGCCCTTTTGAGCCAGGCACAACCTGGAATTAAGAATTAAGGAGAGAATTATTATTATTATTATACAGTATTTATATAGTGCCAAAATGTTTGCTCAGCGCTGTACATTATAGTGGGAGACAGTACATGAGACAATACAGTAACAATACAATACACGAGGGGTTCGAGGGCCCTTCTCCTTGGAGCTTACAATCTAGGAGGGAGGGGATAGTGGTACAGGAGGAAATGGATGTGGGGGATGGAGTGGTAGGAGGAGTGGAGGAGATCGTGAGGGCGGGGTAGGCTTCCCTGAAGAGATGGGTTTTCAGGGTGCGCCTAAAGGTGAGGAGGGTAGGTGACAGTCTGATGGATTGGGGTAGTGAGTTCCAGAGGATGGGGGAAGACCTGGAGAAGTCCTGTAGTCGGGCGTGGGAGGAGGAGACCAGGAAGCTAGAGAGTAGGAGGTCTTGTGAGGAGCGAAGAGTATGTGTTGGGTGGTAATTGGATATCAGGTCGGTGAAGTAGTTTGGGGCAGCGTTATGAATGGCTTTGTACGTCAATGTTAGTAGTTTGAAATTTATGAGTTGGGCAATCAGAAGCCAGTGGAGGGAATGGCAGAGGGGGTGGCGGATACAGAGTGGTTGGTAAGGTGGATGAGTCTGGCCACTGAGTTCAGGATAGACTGAAGCGGTGATAGTCTGTGATGAGGTAAGCCGGTGAGGAGGGAGTTACAGTAGTCGAGTGGTGAGATAATAAGGGAGTGAATGAGTTGTTTAGTAGTGTCTGGGGTTAGGAACGAACGTATTTTGGAGATGTTGCAGAGGTGGAGCCTGCATGAATTTGCCAGCGATTGGACATGGGGCTGGAAGGACAGATTGGAGACTAGAGTGACACCTAGAACTTTGGCTTGCGGGGTGGGACTGATGGTGGCTTTATTGGTCGTGATGGAGAGGATGGGGGGGGTGCGGGCTGGGGGGAGAACTAGGTGCTTGGTTTTGTAAAGGTTTAAATTGAGGAAGTGGAGTGACATCCAGTCTGATATGTCGTTCAGTAAGCAGGTGATTCGGGCAGAGACTGAAGGGGTGAGGCAAAGGGTAGATTTGTGTGTCATCAGCGTAGAGTGGTAGTTGAAGCCGTGGGAGTGTATCAGTTGGCCAAGGGAGGAGGTGTAGATGGAGAAGAGAAGGGGCCCGAGGACAGAGCCTTGGGGGGACCCCAACAGAGAGGGGGAGGTGGCAGCATTATAGGTAACACTGAAGGAGTGCTGGGACAGATAGGAGGAGAGCCAGGAGAGAGCAGAGTCTCTGATACCAAGGGAGAAAGAAGGATGAGCTGGAATAGGAGCGGTGGTAGCCAGGTGACAGAAGATGGTAAGGTGGTCCACATCTTCTGGGATGCATCCCCCTGGGCAGCTGGGCTTCTCAGTTGTCACAATACTCAGCTTGAAAATATTGTCTGTTTGATTTCTGTCCTTGCCATAGGGCAAAGTGTGTGAGCATCTGTTTATATCAGTATGAGCTGGTATGAAGACCTTTGTTCTGCACTTTCCTTTCTGAAATGTCATGGAGTTGCATGTCAGAGCCAGATCATTTCTGTGCAACCCAGCTTAAAAAGTGCATTACAGGCAGAGTAGGGATTCCTTCTGGTGTAAGGTCCCTAGTAAGCCACAATGATCTCTGGTCTCTAAGGGGAACTTACAAGAGAGCAGGAGGTCTTATAAGGAGTGAATAGGAAGTTTTCAGTGTTATTTTGAGACAAAGTTGGTTGTAGCTGTGAAGTAGTTTTGGATAACTTTGTATGCTGTTGTTAGTATTTCAACCCTAAGAGATTAACCAAGTAGGGCTGTAGTCACTAAACGTTGGGTAAAGGTGGATGAGTCTGGCAGCTGCATTACTGATAAATTGAAGGGGAGATAGCCTGCGTAAATGTAGGCCAATGAGGAAAAAGATGCAATAATCAAGGTGAGAGATAACAAGGCAGTGAATTAGTAGTTTGGTGTTGTCATTGGTTAAGAAGGAACATATTTTGGAACTGTTACAGAGATTATCGGGAAGATTTGGACAGTGATTGGATGTGGGGGCAGAAAGAAAGGTCAGAGTCAAGGATTACATCTAGCACCCTGGCATGAGGGGAGGTAAGTTTAGTTGCACCAGTAATCATGATAGAAAAGTCAGAGATGGAGGTAATGGGGAGAAGGAGGGGTCCGTGGGAATATTATGTGCTCAGATTTGCAAAGATTGAGCTGTAGAAAGTGGAATGACATACATACTAATATGTCAGTAAATTAGTAAACTGTGAGGAAACTAAAGGGGTGAGATGAGAAGTGGGAAAGATTTGGGTGTCAGACACAGAGATAGTATTGGAAGCCATGGGAGGTTATCAACTGACTAATAGAAGAGGTGGAGTTAGTGAAAAGAAGGAGTCTGAGGACTGTGCCTTGAGGGACCCCTATGAAAAGAGGATGAGGTGTAGAAGAGATGGAGTTGTAGGAGCACACCAAGGGAGTGAAGTTTTTTGAGGGTGAGTGGGTGGTCAACTGTATCAAAGGCAGTGGAAGGGTCTAATAGTCTGATTGTGGAATAATGGCTATTGGTTTAGTAGTTTGTACGTTTTTAGTGAGCTTTACAAGGACAATTTTTATGGATTGTTTTGGGTGAATTTGAAGTATTTGAGCAACAAATGAGGTAAACATTTTTTTTTTTCCAATTACTATTTAGTGAAAGTACTGCTTTTTTGCAGTTGTCTATATATGTTTCCAATACCTAAAACATTATAAGTCAATGACAAAGTACTAGAGTGTGGGCCCTCATAAAACATTATAAGACAATGACATAGTAGTAGAGTCTTGGTCCTCAGTCAGTTCTTTCTGTTTTGGTTGATGTGGAGTTCACCAGATTATGGATTCTGCCTAGGAAATACCCCACACTTGATATTGCTATTACAAGTTTAGAGCTAAGCTACTTGTGTCACTAAGCTATTGTAAATCCTCCATGAAACACTTATGGAGAATTTGTTCTGTAGCTCTTATTAAAATCTTAACAAAGCTGGCATCAACAAATTACTTGAAGTCAAATTTAGAGCAGATTACATTTTTGCTTGATAGCTGTTCACTGGTTGGTTTTTACTCTTCCTTGGTTTGTAAGCTGCCCATTTTACATTCTCCTTAGGTCCACACATTGCAGAGAAGAAATCTGTATGCCTGCAAGCTGAACAAGAGCAGACTTTTAAACATTTACTCAATTCTGCTGGTTGATTATAGAGATGAAAGACCAAATTGTGAAGAATAAACCTTTAACTAAAGCTGACATACACATCATAGTGTGGTTGTATGTGCAAGTGTGATCCCTCCCTCAGGCATTCTCGCTGGCTCCTGGGTCCCTAAACACAAATTGTGGGTCTCTTCATGTTTAGTCTAAGAAAAGGGCAAAGGGGTAAAATACAAAATCTCTCCCCTGATGAGCCATGGTGGATGGTATGCATTTGGGTGCCCCGTAGACATTAGATTGTCTCCTTATCTAGCCAAAAACTGAATAGCAATCGCTGGATCGGGAGATAGTATATAGGTACTTTAATATTTCCCCATTGCAAATGTTCAAGATGGGACATAGCACATTTTTAAAATGAAATTTTCACCTTCAGGAAG